CCCCCCCTCCCGGCTGCCACCTACACTCGCACGCGCATTTTTCACTCGTTCGCTTCTCGACGCAGTGATAGGCAAATTGCTACTTTGTCATGCAAATCGTCGCGGCGCCGAGCGCCAAATTGAAAATTGGAAGTTGCTCCGAGAGAGTCACCGTCTTCGTCCCCTCGTAAAATCACCAGGGCTCGGGGGAGGGAGGGTGAACGATCTCAGGTGTCGTTCGAAGTAGACAAAGTGCACTTGTTGCGTTTCGTGCGCGAAAAAAAGGGAAAGAGAGAGAAAAAGAGTGGCTAACGAGATCGGACTGGGTGCTCTTAGAGAGACAGTTCGTAACCCAGCGCGAGTATCATGCTCGTAAGTTCAGGATAATAGGCAGGTGCTCGCGTGTGGAGGAGCACGCCATGCAAGCCGGCAAGCGCCGTCGTGGCTCGTTTTAACACCTTTCCTCTGGCGTAATTTTTACGACACCGTGCCGCGCATTTTCGCGGCGTCGCGTTTTTGCTCGTTCCGGTTCCCCTTTATCCCTCCCCCTCTCTCACTCTTTCTCTCTCTCTCTACCTCTGTCGCCTCTCGCATGAATAATAATTTTCAGACCACGCGTATATGCAAGGAGCTTCTTTTTTCCCTCCGAGCGGGTCGAAGCAGGGAATAGCGCGCGCGATGGTGGAAGTTTAGTAGCCGCTGATTACACGGCGGATGTTTTCCGCTTTAGGAATAATTCGCCATTTCTTCGGCTGTAACTTTAACGACCCTTCGAGGATGCCAAGCGAGAAACGGTTGGCACGAATTAACTTTATGATTTAATCGCGACGTTCCTCGTTCGTTTATGTGGAAAACTCGTCCAAATATACGTCTCATGGTCTGATTGTGTGTGATTACTGTGAGAGAGGGGGAGATTAATGGTTAATGAGATTAATTGTGAAAACATTTGTGTGACGGAGATCGAAAAGCGCGGTGATCTCTCTAGAAACCAGTCTTTATACTTGGAAAGTACGGAGTAAATTTACCGGAGTTGGTGGACATGACGAATCTTGTTCTAGTTGCTGACGAATAGCGGTGTATCCCGGAGAGTGCATCATCTCCGTTGGCTACAGTTAAGCCGTCGCGTAACCAGGGCAGCGAAATTCAATTTGGAAATAACGTGAGCGTTCTCGCTCATACGTGCTCTCTCATAGCTCTCAAGGACCGAAGTCGCACGAAGGGAGAGGGAGAGAGAAAGAGAGAGAGAGAGCGAGTCGAGTGCCTGCCGGGGGGGGTGTCTGCGCAGCTTCACCCCTTTTTATCAGCGCATTTCCTCGCCATCTGCTGGAAGCTGGGAGAATCAGGAGATGTATTGAACAGGCTGGATGCGCGCGGCGAGATGCGCGAATATCCGCGAATTCCCGTCAGCGGGGGACCGCAGTCCGTACAATAAAGAAAAAAGCGTGCAGGGCAGAGCGAGAGAGGACGAGCCGGTGGCGGTGGGCGCGAGAGAGTATTCCGCGGAGGGAGAGCGTCGGGCCGAGTGCGGGAGCGAGAGCGAGTCCTAATCCTCCCGGACGGCGAAGAGGCGGACTCGATTAATAGTCGCGCTCGCGAGTGAAACAACGTCGTCGTCCACGGCCACAGCTCGGGGGATGACTTCCGCGGTGCACTGAGAGAGAGCGGGATTTCTGGCGCGGGCTGGCACTTCGATGGGCGATCGTGCGCACCTGAAGACTGCGGCATCTCGGCAGGTCTCCCCGAGCGAGGTGGTCAGTTCGAGCAGTCGAGCGGTCATGTAAACGCTCCGCTGGCTCTCTCTCTCTCTCTCTCTCCTCTCTTTCTATCTCTCTCTCTTTCTCTCTCTGTCTCTCTTGGTGTCGCCGTGCGGTCCGTTTGAGCAGACCTCCGCCAAGTGAACACTTCGCCCGATCCTATCGCGAACGTCAGGATGAGACCGAGCGCGATTGTTTTGCTGCTGCTGCTGTGCGGCCAGTTCCTCGCGTCGGAATCGAAACTTCGCCAGCAGGCGGCCGCGGTAGACGAGGACGACGAGGACGACGATGACTGGGATGACGAGGACGAGGACGACGACGAGGGTGGCTACCAGCCGAAGCCCGAGGTCGACGACGACGGGCGGATCTACAAAAACCCGCGAAACTCACCCTCCGCCATGTGCCCGAGGGACGAGGAGCAAGCGGAGCTGATGGGTCAGAAGTGTCTGCGGAAGTGTTCGACCGACGAGGACTGCAAGAGCAAGAAGAAGAAGTGCAGATGCGACGGAGCCTGCGGAATGTCGTGCATCAAGCCGGAGCGCGAGTGCCCGGCGTTAACGGAGATCGACCACGGCTTGATGACGGTCACCGGGAGATTCTTCGGGGATCGAGCGCATTACAGCTGCGACACCGACTATTTCATGGTCGGCTTGTCCGAGAGAACGTGTCGCGCGGACGGTCAATGGACCGGCACCACTCCGTCCTGCAAGAAGGACGCCAACTCCTTCTGCTCACAGCCGCCGAAGATCCAAAACGCCCGCCACAACGCTCTGTCGGAGCAGACGACCTTCGATCTCTTCAACGCGGTGCAATACTTCTGCAATCACGGCTACGTGGCCACTGGGGTGAAGAAGGCGAAATGCCTGATGATGGAGGACGTCGCCAGCTGGTACGGGCCCGATATCACCTGCAAGCCTCAGAGCTGCGGACCACCGCCGGGGATTCTCAACGGATGGCACGCTGGTGAGTCAGTTGATCGGTCGGCTCCGACGCGGATCTAACTACTTAGCCGCGTTACGGAAGAGACGTTCTCTTGGAAATTACCCTCGAGTGAAGTTTCACGCGGAAAGTGTCAAAGTGATTCAGAGAGACGTGCAATTTTATGCTGTCTCAGCGAATCGATAAATATGCATGGGGTTTTTCGAGTACCGTCCAATATATTTTAGGGGTTGATTTCTGAGGTGATTTTATGAAGAAATGTTCATACGAACTTGCCCTCATAAGACGATCTCGAAAGTCAACTCCTAAAATATCGGTCGGTATAAAATTTTGATGTCTTCTTAAACGTTCATTCGAAAAAGAAAGTTAATTAGAAGTAAAGTACGAAATCGAGCAATCGAGTCAGACTCAAGTGACTTTTCATTCGTACAAAGTTAATCCTTCACTCTGATTTCGTGATTCCAAGTAGGAGTGTATTCATTGAGGCAACAATCTCACTTGGGGAATTTTCATTCGTTTCGATTGAAATTTTACTTCGGAAAATTTATAGAGTATTCTCGAAATTTCTTCGAGTGAAGAAATTTCACTCGGAAAGTAAAGCAATAGCCGAGTTTTTGAAATTTATAAGATTTGAAATTAAAATTTTTCACTCTCATAAAGTTCTTCAAACATCAAGGGAATTTTTCACTTTGATCCTTCGGGTGAATAATCTCAGTCTAAATTTAACAGCGAATCTGTTATGTTCTATCGTTACGGAGAAACAAATTCACGTTCAACAATGAAACATTCATAAGTATGAATAAATATTCACTTTAAAATTAAGCTCGACACGTTCACTCTTGTTTACTCGTGCTTCCGAGTGGCGGTACTTTCACCGTCGCTTCGTGCGAGAATTTTCACATGATTCGAGTGAGATTTCATCCCGAGGGATTTAGCGAGTTAATCTCAAGGTTCTGCTTTCAAGGCGAATGTTACACATACGACTGTCGCGTGTCCTATCACTGCTCGGACGGTTACGAGCTAGTCGGTAAAGCGGAAAAATTATGCCTGGCGGACGGCACGTGGACCCCGAAGGAACTGCCGCAGTGCGTTCAAGTAAGAATCACGAGAAGTCAAATCCTACCACTATGATTTTACAAACCTTAGTTTGCAAAAATTACACGCTTGGATTCGCAGTGTACACGCGGTGTAATTTTCACACATTTACGTATGTAAAGTGTCAAATTACGTAAAAAATTGTTTACCACATGATTTTACAAATAAGTGTGTAAAATTCCGAGTCGGGAGTAACTCTTTTCGAGCCTGTAAAATATTACGTCTAAATGTCCAGTTATTGAAAATTGTTAAAGGAAAAGGACTTGATGTGACGTTAAAATCTTTTCTCCTTTCTCCACGTACATCAAAAAATGTAACTGCTTTACCGTTACTAATGAAGATACCATACACGTCGTTATTAAATTATTATTGAAGAAAAATTGAAGAAAAGGTAAAAAGGTAAAATTACACACTTGGATTTGAGGTGCGTGTCTCTCGCGAGTTAAGTACCGCGCGCTTCATAATATCTCTCTCTCTCGCGCGCGCCCAGGTCACGTCCGTGCAGTGTCCGAAGCCGGAGAACCCAGTCAACGGCAAGGCTGTCTACACCTCCTACGCGTATAATTCCATCGTATCGTACGAGTGCAAGTACGGCTACACCGTTGTAGGCGCAGCGACCAGACGTTGCGGCGCTGACAGGAAGTGGACTGGAAAGACGCCTACCTGCCAGGAAATCAATTGCGGCCTGCCGGGCGTGCTGTACAACGGCTGGATCGAAAACATCGAGGCTGGTGTGTTATTTAAAGCTGACGAGGCGCGAAAAGTTGACGTAAACCAACACACGTGTCGTACGCGTGCTGCTCGCGTGCACGCGTGTATCATTATTGTCTCTCTTTGAAATGAATAAATCGCGCACAGGCACAGGCATGGGCGCCAGCATTATCTTCCGCTGTAAGGACCACATGAAGCTCGAGGGCAACACCTCCTCGGTCTGTCAGAAGGACGGCAAGTGGCGTTACCCTCTGCCGCAGTGTCTGGCACCGTGCGTCGTGCCGCAGATCGAGAACGGCCACATCATCGTGGCCAGCCACGACAGGGATCACATCAACAACGTCACCGTGGTGGAGCACGGCGAGCGGCTCTTGGTCAGCTGCGTGCAGAACTACGAGTTCGCCGCCAACAGCACTCCGGTGCTCTGCAACAACGGCACTTGGCTGATAGTGCCGAGCTGCACGCCCGCCCGCTGCAAGCAGATGCCGAAGAGCCCGAAGAACGGCATGGTGATAGCGCCGAAGACCGACCACGGTATGAAGGCGGTCTTCAAGTGCAAGGACGGCTTCGAGCTGGTCGGCGGCGGCCCTCTGAACGCCTCCACGTCCGTGGAGTGCCGCTACGGCTATTGGATCGGCGACTTGCCGCACTGCGTCCAAGTGTTCTGCCCGTTCCCGGGCTTCATCGAGAACGGCAAGGTATTCCTGGTGGGCAATATGGGGGTTTACGATTACAGGCCGTACGTGCGGAAGATCGTCAACAACAAGCAGATCATGTACGACTGCGACAAGGGCTACGTCCTCGACGAAGGCCCGACCGGCGCGACCTGCATAGGCGGCGCGTGGAGCCCCAAAGAGCTGCCCAAGTGCATTCTCGGCCAACACCCCAGGCTCAGATGGAGCAGACGGCGCAGGTCGGTGGACGACGAGAACGTCACGCTGAACTACAAGTGAGTATCCGCGAATATTGCTCAAACTAGAGCGTTATGGACGATAATGATAGTCATTTCATCGGCTCGAAATAGTTTCGTCGAGATGTTTGCAAAAGAGAATAATATGACGTTGATCCCTCTTCCATAAATATTGAAGAATGTCGATGATTTTATTGTTATTAACAGAAATATGCCAACAAATGTATTCTACGGAAGAAAAAACTTCCGTACCAAGCTGTGTATTTTAAAAGGCAAAGATATAACGTACCCACCGCGGCAGAAATCAAGGTCGGATTATGAACGTTTCAGAAAATTCATCGAATTCTTCCGCAAAGTGGGCAAAAAGCTGTTGCACATGGAGATGAACAGGAGCCGGCAACACGGCAAACATAAGATAGAGGGTAAGCTCGGGTCCGTCAGCAATCATGCAAACAACAGCAATGCGTCCGACTCATCGTCGTCGGCTTGGAAGAGCCAGGCTGCTCACGGCAACAAGTCCCGTCTGCGCGAGGAACGCATGATCGACTTTCTGAAGATCGTGTATAGAAAATTACAACGCATGGACGCCAGGCAGCCGAACAGCTCCAGCAACGGCACGATGCACGATCTGCTGAACGCCATGAGCAAGAACTTCTTCCACGTGGACCTGGCGGAGTCGCGGCGGAACGGCAGCAGAGCCCGCTCGGACTTCGAGATACGCAATCAGCGGGAGTTCATCAAGCTGAAGCGGGAGTTCGAGCGGATCATGAGATTCTACAACAAGTCCATACGTTGGAACGAGAAGCAGAATCGGAAGGACGCCAAGAGGAAGGGCCTGTCGCACGCGGAGAAGCGGAAGGACAAGAAGAAACATCGGAAGAACTACTACAAGGGCTTCTACGAGTTCGTCAACAGCTACGTGACCGAGAAGCTGTCGATGTTGGAGGCGCGCAACGCGACCGAGGAGCTGATCAAACGGATGAAGATCGACAAGTTCACCGTGAGGAACGGCACGAGCTTCACGGTCGGCGAGATGTACGCATTTTTCAAACATATCATAGAGGATAAATTGAACTCGACCGAAGAGACGGTCGTCGCCGTCGAGTCGAGCACGACGTCGGCGCCGAAGCCGGAGGTCGAGCCGTACGTTAACCAGTCTTCGACAATCCCGAGTAACGAGGTCTCCGCTTTGGACAACGAGATTCCGGCGAAGGAAGGCCCGGCCAAGCATCGCAGTAAGCGAATACGAAACGCCTCGGAGGACAACGCGGCGACGGCGACGGCGCCGCGCCAAAAGAGGAGGCTCTTGTCCCTGAAGCCGGCCGACGGCGAGCCGAAGAAGCCGAAGAAGCCGAGCCGCGTGGCGGCCGACGTGAAATCAAAACAGTTCACCTTCGACGAGCTGGAGGCGCAACAGCAGAGCCGCTCCAAGCGGTTCCTGCCGCCCTCCGAGCTGGATAATCAAATCTTCCTCAAGAACTTGTACCTCCACGCTTACGAGGACGAGTATCGGGCGAACGTGAAGCGATCGATCGGCCAGATCAACCGCACCACCGGCTGGCCGACGTCCACGAGGAGACGCAAGGGCAACCTCGGCGCTTACGAAATCAAGTGAGGAAAGGGAAATAATGTGTTGTGATATTAAACGGAATTTACTAAGTCATTTACCGATATCAATCGATTTTAGGCGAGTATACACCATATACGATAGTTATTCATCGTTGTCCCCACCGTCGATGCGCACTGTAAACGTGTATCGCGCTTTTTTGAAAAATAAATCTTTTCCATGCAAACACACACCCGCCCCCCACGGTATATAAGTATATTCACGATGCTCGACCTCTCTCTCTCTCTCTCCCCGCTGCCATAGTTTTAAGATAAAATTATTCGAATTTTTGTCAGCCGGAGGAATTCAGCCAGCGTCGATGCGTGTTCAATATCTGTGCGATATCAATTTCTGCTGCACAGTGACTGTTCGCATTTATACTTTTCTACGCTCTTCCCTTCCTGCGCTTGAGGGGAATCTTCTCCCCCCCCTCCCCCCGGGCGTGTATTAAATCTGTCTATCTTTCTATCTATTTACCTCTCGCACAGAAGGGAGGCACCTGTGTGTGCGCGGCACAGGTCCTACGAGAAACTGTCAATAAATATTATACGTATATACACACACAGAGAGAAGACTGTTAATTATTTGACGGCGAGTCGAGAGAAAGAAAGAAGAAAAGAAATCAGATTGGACGTAATCGGATCGCGCGGCGTTGCGCGTCGTTACGCAACGTCACGCGACGCCCGAAGGACACGTAAGGAGGGATCTTACGTCACGATGCGCGCGCGCGCGCGCGCGATGTCATTAAATTCTTCAGCGAACTATTTATTTCGCCACTCTCGGGCGCCGATCCGGTTCCGGCAAAAATTGCTCGCCGCTGCCGCCGCGCGATCCGATCACACCGAAGGTGTGGGCACGGTCGTAAACATTCCCGCAATTGCCGCCGCGCGATATCTCACGATCTGGTTGCGCCGTGACGGCGATTATGCCGCAACCGCTCGCAGCAATTAAGCCCCTCCGAAAATAAGCGGAGCCTAAAACGAGATCAAGAGGCGCGGTCGGCCGAGCGAGCCGAGCGGGTGACTCGCGTAGCCGCGCGCGCGGCGACGCGCACCGCGAGCGCTTCCCCACCTGTCAATAACGACGCTGTCATTAATTACGGGCCAATTATAATCCGTAAATGCTCGCGCGAACCGTGTACACGATAGCATCGTGTACACGATGCTGTCGCGCCGCTCGTTAACATATCTGATCGCGCGCGTGCGCGCGGTTTCTCGGAACCGCGTTAAATCGATTAATCGGCCGCGCGACAGCCCGGCGCGCTCGTCACGATAAGGGAATCGGCCGCGGCCGGGATGATAATACGTCGTTAGGAGCGCGACGCGGATGTCAGAACGCGGAGATTATATTCAAATCCGGCCGGGCGGACTCGCGCCCATCGTGTGGGTGCCCGCTGGCGAGTTATCGCCGCTGAATGATAACGACGAGCCTTAGAATATCGCGAGGCGATATTCTTGCGCAATCTAGTTCGCGAGTTGAATAAATTATTCGAAATTTCTCTCTCCCTCCGTCTTTCTCTCTCTCTCTCTCTCTCGCTCTTTCTTTCTCTCTCGGGGTGAAATCTGATTAAGAACGAGCGAAAATTCCTCCGAAGAAAGAGTAGAAATATCGACATGCGGAATCGCGGGAATGAATTTTTAACTCGTGGTTAGAGTGGATTCTAAATTCATACCAGTGAATGTCTGAATCGATTTGAGTGAATTTGTTTCTGCGACGGTGAAGTATGCCAGATTCGCCTTCATATTTCGAATAAAAATATTTAAGATCACGTAATTGTTTCAAGGTTTTCAGATTCCCAATCACAAGAATTGTTGACAGACAAGAGCCAGATAAATTATTATTTATTATCTCATTAAAAAATCATACGCGTTGTTGGCTCCAATTTTTTAGGAGCTTATGAAACTGATTTCTACGCTATCACGCAACTTTGTTTCGCCAGCGTTTGTTGTCTTATAATAAACAATTTGTCGTTAATAACGGTACATAAATGTAATATTATAGAGGCTACGTAAAGGTAACTTTACAGATTTATGTACAAGGGATGATTCTCGTCTCTTTAGACTCGGCTTAGCTTTTACGATCTGCCGGCGGCAGGTGGGAATTTTTCCACGATAAGAATGGCCGTCCAAGTGTTAATATATTATCTCTTTATTCCCGTCAATTTTTTTTAGAAAAAGTATCAGCGTTCTGAATCACAAAAGTGAATATTCAACCTGAACCTACACGGTAAAGAACATTTTGTACTTTTGTGTTAAAATCGATCCTTGTTGACATTTTTATGCTAAATTTTTAACACACGAGTGTGTTAATTTAACATACGGCGTTTATATTATCTCAATATTTCATGTTGAGCCTCTCTCTTTTCCTCGATAATCAACGTGTTTAAATGTTAACATAACACATTTTATACTCCAGTGTTGGTTAACATATTATAGATATCGATTTGGTGTTAATCTTTTACATAATATTCGTGCTAGTTTTCAACATATTCACCTAATGTTAAATTAGCAGCAAAATTTGTGCGGATCGTGAGATTCGGGGAAACGTGAAATGCGTTCAATTTAACGCAAAGAGCGACTTCCACAATCTTTCAGTCGGTTAAGGCGAATTCGTTCCTGCGAGACGATGGAACGTATCAGATTCCGAGCGGAGGATACACTCTATCCGAGCGAAATGTCCCTCGAATGGCTCGACGGTCATTTTGTTTATCGAATGGAGAGTTTCACTCGAAGGCACTCGAAGGGAGTAAAGTGTGTTGCGTAACGCGGGCCAACGCCCCGCGATGCTGTCGCTATCGCAGGTGAGGATAATCGAATCGGGAGTAATCGTTCGCGATGCATTTGAATTTTAAATGTCGCGTCGCGTCGCGCGAGGATACGCCGACGAGGACACGCGGAATAAGAATACCGTCGGGACCGGCGGAAATCGATAGCCGTGGGGGGCATTGTTCCCGGCCGGTCGTAAATGGCAGAGCATTAGAGCGCGTGCGCTTAACGAAAAGCAACACGGGAGAAAAATAAAAGCGTCGGCCGGCACGCACCACTAATTCACTTAGACCGGCGCGTACCCGGCATTATTTCAGTTCATACGACCGATGATTACGCAGCCACTTGACCGGCGCTAATTACGCTAACACACGGTGAGGGTGCTCGCGGTAAGTGGCTAGTTCGACACGGCATCAATTAGAGCCCCCTCACGTGCAACCTTCGGCACACACGGGCAATTCGTCGTTAGAACTCTTAAAAGTGTGTTAACGACGAATAATGGGAAACGCGTACGTGACGGGAGATCGCAAAGAGACGCGAAGCGTCGCAATAAAAGTCTCTCGTTTCGAAGTGAGACCGAAGAGGACTCGTCGGGTAAAAAAAATTACCAGACGCGCTCGCGGTTATTCCGTCGATACCCATCGGTTAATTGGCTCCTCCAGCCTGCGGCGGCGCAAACGACGGGGAGATCCGTTTTGTTGAATACCGTGACAGTTTCCGGTAAGCGGCACCGAGATACCACCGCGGCTCATCGAGTTACGTTATAAAGTACAATTAATTGCGTTTGAAAAATCGACAGCACGGCCAATAAAATAATAACGAATAAAACGAGGTGGAAGATAAATCGACAGCTAAAAAGCGATACCTCGTATTTGTAAAAAAGAAAATGGTCATTTTCGAATGTTCGGTCCGGCGAATTCTGATTTTCTCCTCGGTTTGTGCTAAAAACGTTTTATTTCTGTTTGAAATTTTAGAAAACTAAAGAATATGCAAAATGTGTTCCGTTGAATATCGTGACTGTCATCGGTAAGCGGCATTGAAATATTACCACGGTTTATCGAATTACGTATAAAGTATAATTAATCGCGTTTGAAAAATCGACGGCCAATAAAATCAAAGTTAATAAAACGAAGTGAAAGATAAATCGCCAAAAAATGTTATCTTGTATCTGCGAAAATGGTTATTTTCCGATTTCCAGTCGAACTCTGAACTTTTCCTCAACAAGTTTAAAACGTTTTACATATTTGTTTGAAATCTTAGGAAAGTGAAGAAAAAATTCGATCGTTCAGAGCGAAGTGAATTTTCACGACAAATTTTCGTCTCTCGCGAAAAACTTCCGATCTCACGCGTATAATAAGGTATCGTTTCTTAACCATCGATATGTGTTCTAAATGATGTTCATTTCAGGTGATTCAGTCGTCAGTCAAGCTTTCGTACAGCCGACGGAAATTAACGTGGGTCGACGTGTTAATTCGCTATTTGACGTGGAGAAGCGAGGAACAAACGCCTCGAGGACTTTCACGGTTCCGCCAGTTTTGCTAACGACCGTCCACTTTCGAAAGTTTCGTCGCAGGGAAAAGGGTTCCCGGATGATCCCGTCACCTCCGTCACTGAATCGCCGCGTAGTCGGCGCACCGACAATGAAGTCGGGCTCGTCGGCAAGAGAGCCGAAACAGCCGATGATAATCTCATTGAAAGAGGAGTTAAGCGACGCCGGGCTTCCTGCCAATTCAGCTTGCCAAGTGTCGCCTTAGACGCAGTCAATGCCGCCGCGAAATTGCTCGGTGGCTGTGGCTCAATGAAACCCGCCGGTATTTCGCCCGAGGATTTGCCTAGATAACCGCCGACGGGACGACGTGCCAAAAACGCGCCATTGTACGCGGCCAGTTCGTGAATGAAACCGAGCTCGCGTCCGTGCCACTCGGATGGATGAGTCGGAAAGAAAGAGGGAGAGAGGGGGCAAACTCGGGGGAAAGGGTTTACCATGCCTTTCAATTGTACACTGAACCGGCCACTATTGACCGCTGGGTCAATCGGCCTGCTACAACTTGCATTCTTGGAACTTCCTGTACCCCGTGAATTCGCTGTGAGGTCGCGGACGGTCCCGCACTTAACTCCGGGTGGAGGACGAAACCGCTCGTCGTCTTCTCGAAGTTCGTCGTTTCCAAGTGACGTCCCGCTGCGGAGACGGGATATCCGCGCGGAAATTACGCGCACTAACCGACAGAATAACTTGAACATGCGACGTAACTAGGTTATTGGAATTGTGTAATAGTAGTAGTATTAGGATTTTCTAACGGAATGGTGGTATCTGGTGTAGCTTTGAATGAATCATCCCTCGGTTTCAGTGGAATTTTCTTCGAAGAAAGTAACTTGCTTTTGAAGAAGAAACGACGAAATGGATCTGTTGAAGTCAGATGAAAAGT